GCCGAAAAGGCTTCTAGGAGGTGGAGATCCCCAGGGAGCAGGGAGTCCTGCAGGTGCATAGTGAGAAAACAGTTACAAGGAAGAGAAAAAGGCACACACAAAGAGTGTGAGGTCTCTGGGGACAGCATTGAGTTGCTAAGGCTAAAGTACAGGAGGAAGACAGAGGTGGGCAAAGACCAAATTTGGGAGGACCTCCTGTGTCATGCAGAGGATCCTGGGCTCCAACCTGCAGGTGATGGGAAGCCACTGAAGGGTTATGAGCAAAAGCCTGGCACTATCTCCTTGTGCGTAGGAAATATCTTCCTTGTAGCCTTGAGGGATGAATTGAAGGGGACTGGGAAGTGCGACCATGATGGCCTGTGCCGTGGTTCAGGTGAGAGATGAGCGGCAGGGAGCTGGAGAGAAAGTCGCTGAGTTTATCCCCAAGCCCCAAAGGCCACGGTCGGGAGGAAGAATTTCCAGCTGCCAAGTCACTTAGCCTCAGAATATCAATTTCCTTATCCTTAAAACGAAGGAAAAATGATCACTGATAAGATCCCCCCTCTCGCTCCCAGCGAGCACAAGACAATTTATCAGGGCGCTCTCTCAGGCAGTAGGACCTCACCCAGAACCCTGGAAAAGAGGACAGGAAAGCGGGGCGCAGCAGGCGTGAGCGGAGGGAGAAGCGGGGCCCCCACCCCACCCCGACGCCTCCTTTCTCTCCCTTCCCTGAGGGGAATTGTCTGAGGCCACAAAGAGGAGGTGGAGTAGAGGGTCCTCTACTAGGTCTAGGCCCCTGCAGCCTGCTTTGATTCAGTCACAGCAGCCTCCAGCAGAGCCACCTGGGGCCGCCGTCCTTGCCTGTAGGGAGCAGCGGAGAGGACGCTCAGAGGGACTCAAACACCCCGGTTTTCTTCCCAGCTTTGGATTCCACTGCTCTGTGATTTTGGACGAGTGAGCTCTCGGCACCCAATAAATCCCCGCGGGTCACTAGACAGCTCCCCGCGACCCCTGCCCCCGCCGCGCCACCTCGCCTCTCCCCACCCTCTCCTTGCTGGTCCTGGCGCCGCCCTGAGGCTGGGCGGCCGAGGCTGCGGGGCGCCGGGCGGCGGGCGGTCAGCTGGGGCCACG